ATGTTTGACAGGGGCTTTAGAACCGCGTGAAAATCATTGAGATCTTCGTTTGTGGTCTCGACAGAGGGGTGCTGAGTTTTCATTAGGGGTGAGCACCCCTCCGATCTTCCCATCGATGTGTTTTGAGGTCCCGTTCAGTTTTATTAACTTGTCATTTGATTTTACCTTCGATACGTTAAAAAAGATCAATCTTTCGATCAATTATTTCTTAATTTATATCTGAATAATTAACATTAACACATTGATCACCGCAATAGAAATAGCTATAAATAGCCATAAATTATTGCAGTCATCAAAAATTAATTTTTTGATACACAGCTTCAATTTGTTGTTTTATATTATTTATAATTATCTCTTTCACGTTCGTTTTTTTAATTAAAACAAATTGTTTCACTCCCATGTTTTGGGTCAATAGAACTCGTTGCGTGTGAGAATATCAGTTAACCAATGGAATTAATTAAATTCAATTCTTCTTTTTTTTTTGATTGAACACTGAATGTTCGTGTAAATTCTATTTTTCATTGGAATGGATTCGATCGATTTCACCAGGCACCGTTTGACCGCGATACTTTCTGGCGACAATGAAAAATATTTCAAACAGGTATCACGTGTAAACGAGCTTCGGACAGTTTGAAAAAATCATCGACGAACGATTCTTTTTTTTTTTTTTTTTTTCATTTCTTTTCAATTATATGCGCTTTTTTGTAGCGAGGTGAAAGCCGAGTTTCGAAATATTGTCAAAAAATCATTGGTGAAATCGTGTCCGCGCTCGCGTTGGCGCGACGGGGATATAAATACGAATATAAATCTCGAAATTCTCATATTTATTGCCGTTCTCGCATTTCGGGAAATTTGGAAAGCACGTACCGTTACAGGGAAGTAAATTTTCGAAATTACATTGAAATTTATCGTCTCTCAATTTCTGTTGGCTCGTGGTATTGTTATGAATAACGAATATTTGATATTAAAATAATGAAACTTAAGAACCGAGCATTATCATCATATTCTTTAAAATTTATTTTTTAATCACCCACTATTTTAAATATTATTACAAATGATTTTAATAACGTTAATTTCCTTTATCACTGTAGCATATTTTTATTTAGTATACTAGTAACAAAATATTTTACTAGTACTAGTATATTATTAATAAAAAATTATACTTCTTTTATAGTTCCCTAATTAAAGTAAAGATTTATAATGAAGGTATTTAATGAAAAGTTAATTAACTCCTGAAGTCTAAAAATAATTTAATAAAAATTCATATTTTCATTCATGAATGATTTAATCGTAAGGGATGGAGAAATTGGGTTGAGTCGAGGCACATTCGAAAAAAATCCCGAGAATTTACACGGTGACGGGAAACGGATGTGTTCTATAAACGCGATGAAACGCCACTCTGACGGTCGTTTCCCGTTTTTTCGATTACTCGGGATTGGTAAATATTCGACGAATCCTAGCCTGTGACTGGCCGAGCACATATACGCGGGCATAGTTATTGGTTACGCGTTTATAATTGATATTACACCCCCTACGAGAGGGGTTGCTCGTGAAATTTACTGACGATTGCCGGCCGTTGTTTCGACCGTTCATTCGTGTTTGCTCTGGCAAAAAATATTTCCGATTTTAAAAGCTCGATGCCGGTTAAATGAAAAATATCCGTACCCACCGTGGAAAACGATGGGTGTTGTTAATCTGTCGTTTCGGCATACGCGGGCCGATTTAGACCCTTCTTTTTTCTTTTTTTTTTTTACCTTCGATTCAGACGAATTTCTGGTATACATAAATTGATTTATATTTTATTTTTATTTCTTTTTGATGAAGAAATATTTTGTCTTTTAAATCCCCATAGAATCACAAATCTTTGAAACAACAATCATTCGACCCACTTGATCCACAATTCACCCGACTGTCAAAGCAACCTGGCTATTTACACTAAACACCGAGCCACCCTTTTCGCTGATCAAAATTCCACCCCTAATTACGCAACGAGGCTGTAATTCACATCGGCGGAGGGGGCGAGTCTTTTATCGCGGTCGGGTAAAAAGAGCTTCCCCGAATCTTAAGCCTAGCCGGAGGAAGGCTGGCAGCCAGCCTGATCCAGCCGCGGCATAAAAGAGACCATCCCACCCCTTAAACTCCGTGGACACACAATTAGGGGATCGTGGTGGCGCGGAAATCCCTGCCAATTCTTGAGAACCTTCCGCCACTATTAAATGCAAACCCCTTTTTCTCGAGGTGGTGGAGCTGGTTGGAATTGAACAGGGGGGGAGAGAGTAGGGGGAAACTGGCTGCCGGTTTTAGCCTGGAAATGGGACTTGGTAGGAAGTTTCTGGCAGCCAGGCTTCTGCATCATGGATGCACCTGCATGAAGGGCGGATGGAAGAAGGGAGCGGTGGAGAAGCTTGCAGGACCGATAGAGGGAAAAGTAACGAGGGTTGGGTCGCCATATAATTACCGTTAATTGAATTCTTAGTGGCGGCCGTCCAACCTACCACCAGCTACGTGGTATCCAGGGTCCTCTAGGGTCTTCTGCTTGTTAGAGGTAGTCGCGTGCTTGTGTGTATTTTATGAACGTCCGTGTGCCGCTTTGGTGTGCCTTAATGGATCGGGAAATTATTGCGCGAGATCCCTCTGGAGGCCGAAATCGTTTCGCTGTTTGTGTTTCTTTCACCTGGAACTGGGTGTGTGACTCTGCATTTCTTATACGGGGTGTCGCGTTTTAATCTGTAAATGGAACCGTCGGAGAAATTGAACGTACCGAGCTTGCTGCTACCAAGCTTGCGAGCCATTCTGAGGAACGGATGCACAGAGACGTTCAAAGGCATTTCGAGAGCTTTCAAGTTGATTTTTCTTTTTTTTTTTTTTTTTTCATTTTCGTTAACCGGTTTTTTGGATTATACGCGATTGTAATTTAGATAGTCGGTCCTTAAAAATTTGATAGCCTCGGTTCTAAAAATGAACAATGGTCTATGATAGATTGAATTAATATTCTACATGGAATTACCTTTGGTCAGATTATACTATTAATTGTTAGAGACTTTGTAAAACGTAGAAAACGCAATTATCGCGTGGAGCAGAAGGCTATAACAAAAATCAATTGCAATAAAGTCGCGTTTTAATCGGTAGCAGCTCGTCGCAAGCGTTTGACCATCGAATTCAATAATGAAGATTAAAACGCACCCGTCGCCCTCATTAGGCCAAATTACGTCGCGAACACCGATAACGGTCATCCATGATTTCTTTTTTTATTAATTATAGTTATGGATCAATCTTTCTAGAGTTGTTTTTCATAAAAATATTAGGTACATTTATTTGACCAACATTAGGGTCAATCGGGAATATTACAACGGAAAATCTGGTCGTCTCGTTTGGGAACATCGTGGCTACGATTTTGCTCACGTAACTCGATTATCATTTCAATTAAACGAATTGTTTTAATTGATTTAATTTTTTGATGTGCCGGCACGATGATGCGTCGAAGCTTAAATCATCGATGCACGGCTGCCCGAGTGCTTGTCAATGGAAAATGGAAAATATCGTTGCAGTTCGGGGCGGTACCGTTTCACAGGTTGGAAATGAAATTTATTTGCTGCCGGCTCGGTGAAAATACAATCGCGTGTAATTGGCTGAGAACGATGTTTGAATGTTTCTAGGGAAACTGTTGTAGTTCTAATTATGTTTCAAGGCACTGAAAAATATTGGTGTAATTAAGTGGCAGCTAGGGTGGGATTAGCCCCCGCAAAAATATGGGTTGGCCCCCTTATCATTCTTGGATTATAGAATTTTAAAATTCTAAAAATTAAAAATTCTAATATTCTAATATTTTAATCTTCTAATATTCTAAAATTCTAAAATTTCTAAGGTTTCCATACTAGTCATTAGAAAATTAAAAATAATTAGAAATTAAAGCAGTAACACACTGAACAATGCATTCTTCTTCCAAGAATTTCCTCCTTTCCACATTTTATAAAACACAGAAAAGGCATCAGTGTCAATTTTTCAGTCTTCTAAAATGACAATGAATGCCTGTAATGAATATTCATTACAGCACATCAACGTCTCCCTAATTAACAAATTAATCTAACCAGCAGAATTGAGTCTAGTCATTCTAGATACACTCACCTTCTTCCGCTAATCATTCGAGATACATATTCATTTGATTTTACTGGAATAATGAGCAAAAGTCTAATTGTAAGTGAATCGACCGAATTCTCACTGTTTCCTGTATGCTATTTCATCGAGAGTCGGTTTCGATCCCATCCCAGATTGCGGCTCGATTTCTTAGCCAGGATTTTAATTATTCCTGTAATTTTGTATTTCTTTTTATACGGGAAAGTTTCTTTAACGTCACATTCTTAGGCGAACGTAAATGGTCGTGATCTTGAATATTGTAATAATGCTAATGGTAATTCAAACCTAATTTAAATTCAATTCAACAAGTAGCAGCCGTGTTAAAGGATCTATTATTATTAATAAAATTCAACGATCAATTCATAGCACGCGAATAATGGCATAGAATGGTAAAAGGTTGAACAATGATAGAACACTTCTTCAAGGATCAATGATACACGCGGAGATGTAATCGCGATCCTTCGACTCACAGACGATCGTAGATCTCGTAGATCCTTGGGTTTACCGAACGAAGAAGATTACCGATCTTGAGCGATGAATTTAGCTCAATACACCTGACGACCTTTCTTGCTTCCACTCCGTTACCTTCGTGAAAGAATCCTGTCGATCCTCACCGTTACTTCGAACTGCCATCAGGCAATCGCGAACGAAACTACATCGAATCGTTGCAATTTTATATGCATCCTCTGTGCATGTGTCATCTGCTGCACTTGCATTTTGAAATAGTAGGGTAAACTGAAGTTAAGCTAAAAATTTTATTTCAAACAGAAAATTGAAATTTGTTAGGTTCAATTTGAAATAATAAAATAAGGTTCGCATTTCAATTATACTTTATTTAATTAAAATAATTGTTCTCCTTGTTATAGGTAAGTTGCAGTCGATGGTAGTTCTTCGTGCAGTTTCAATCCACTGGGAAAATGCGAAGGGAAACGAATTCAAGGTATTTTCAATTAATAATTATTTTCTTGTTTATTTTACTGTCATTTCGAGTTAAATTAATAACGTTTCTGAATTCGTGCGAAATTCTCTATTGCCATTTCTTTTTCTATTTTTCTAAAAAGATATTATTTTTATTTTTTAAATTCTAAATACCTCTAATTCTGATGGACCATGTTATATTCACAATTTTAAAAATTATCAAAAATTAAGCTATTGAGTAATTTTGATTAATCATCTACTTGATATTATCACCTATTTTTACTCAGCCTAATACGAATAAGAAAAAGTAAATTTATAAATTGACGTCTGGTCCGATTTTTGCCTGCCTCCATGGTAGCCAAGCAATTTAGAGGGGTCGATTGATAGCACGGCAAAATTGAAAATTGCCATAATTCAGCGGCAGTTACGGTAATATCCAGTAATATCTGCACGCGCGCTCATACGGTATCGTTTCAAGCCGATTTTTATGCTAAACTTCACCACCCATGGGCTTCGATGATGCACGTAACACCTAAGTTTCGCGCGGGCCGAATTACCGCCAGGTAGAAAGTATAGTAATCAAATACTTGATTGCTTTCTAACGTAGAATGGTTGGAGGAGTACTGTTGGCTCTCGGTAGCGATCAGAAACCACTCATTTTTAAACTTATAGCCTGGATCCCTCAATCTTTTTCATTGCTGTCAGAATATCCATGATTTCAGTTCATTAATTTAAATTTAATTTTCGGGTTTCCGCGCACCTTAATAAAATTCTATAAAAATTGCAGTCAAATTCTAAAGATTGGTCATTGAAAATGCAAAACTCCCTTGAATGCACGAATAAAATTTAATATACGCGTTATATTCTGTCTGATAAATTTGAAAAAAAGAAATCTGAGAGTTAAGGTATTATAATGCGACGCCCTGAGTGTCATGGGAACGATAACGAATTAACCGCGATAGCCGGGATTAATCGTGCCAGTGCCGGCACCAGTCTTATTCCGTGTACGACTGCATCAATCACCCCGAGTCCTGATGCCCTTCCATTATCGTGACGAGTCGGAGATAAGCTATCGCGGCTAATATCGCATCGATCTGGCCGCTTTGCATTTCGATTATGAGCCAGGGCATCGAGAGGGAAGCAACGTGGCTGGTTGTCGCGCAACCGCGGCCTAGATGCGGCTAATTGAAATCTACGACTTTGAACTTGCGATTCGCGGGGCCCAGAGAGTGATATTAACGAGCTAGGATTCTGCTCGTTCCCTACCAATAACCGACGATTTGTCGTGCGATCGCTAATCACTGATTACCCGCGTCTCGGCTAACTAACGTGCCTCCGCTTCTTCCCTTGATTTGTGCATCGGCTAATGCTTCCGTACGTCGAGTCTATTCTGACAAATCTCATTTGCCGATATTGTTAGATTATCTATCGTGAAATGCAATGTAAAATTTAATTTAAAAAAAAAAATAATCTTTGATTTAAAAATTTTGGGTAATTCTTAAATGCAGGTATGAAAAGTGCATACACAGGTAAAAGTACAAATTTCATAGCTAAGTTTAAAATATTGTATTTGTAAAATTTACCATCAAATAGTAACATTTGTCGATAGACGTCAGTACGCTCGTGGTTCACCCCATCGTGGTGTGGGTGCAACTGCATTCGGTGCAACGTGCATCGCGGCTCTGCTCGATGATTGGTCTCGAAGTACGTACGCAGTAAGCTGGCATCAGACGGTGACGCAGGTCATCGGACATTTTTCGAACACCGGGTACATCGACCTGCCGGTGCCAGACGATGCACCGGTCGTGTGCAATTTGCAGACAGTCCGCGTCGTTGCAACGGTGGGGGACAAAGAGTATTTTTTACTTATCGCCCTACTGGATTTAGCGATGGGCTGGAAAGAGCTCGAGTCACCGTCACCGTGCAACGGAAACTACGAATCCCACTCGAAATTGAATATTTCTTTCTTTTATGGGTTCGCTGATATTTTTGATGCATTCGAAATCGCTTCGGTTCAATGCTGGCTGAAATTTTATGAGACGGATCTATTTTAATTTTGGTAAATTACGATTCTATAATTATACTTTGGAATAATTGCTCTTTTATGTATATACAGGTATCATAATTCAAGTCGAACTGCGGATCTTATAGAAATTCTTTTGTATCGAGTACAATTCAATTTTTTTTACTCGTCATAAATCAGTTCTTTTATTCTATATTCTTCAGCAGTCATAAATTGCAAAAATCTCATCGATTTATTCAATTGAAGTCCAGTTTCAAAAAGAACGGTTTCGGTCAATTCACAATACACCTGCAAAATTAAAAATTCTATTCAAAATTTATTATACCTCAGAAGTTTCGAGTCTCGATTCTTCGAGCAATCAAAATTCTACCTGAAATCACGAGCTAATCAATTTAGATTGTCGTAGCAGTTCCACGATTTTTCGTGAAAATTCGCAGAATAACCGCGACGCTATTTCTGCCGCCACTTTTGGATCCCTCGAAAGATGACAGGACGGTATTCCCGATCGAGCGGAGCGCCGTTTTGTGCGTTGAAACGACTCGGCCTGCGCGGATTCTACGTAGGTAGGACGTGTGCATCCGTTCGCATAAGGTGTGCCAACATGTGTGATGCACTTGCACCCACACACGAGCGAACGAAAACGTTAGCTACCGACAGACGTTCCATCGCCAACGACGCCCACCATCGCTAGAAATGCCAAGACTTCTGACAATGAGTCCCGACCCCAGCAGTTCTCATCGCCTGCTCGTGCGCGGCAATAAAAAGGGTTATTTTGAAACGGTAAATATTTAACCCCTTCGGTGCCACGTACTTGACTGATCAAAATGTGGGATCGAAAATTAGGTATCTGTATTTTCTTGAATTTTGGACGTCATAGGAGCTCCATAAATATTTCAATTTAGCATTCTGTAAGAACAAATGCAATTTTGGGCCCTAATTCATAGGGCACGTGGTTATAATTATTAATGCACTTTTTGCTTGCGAATAAATTTGATTTAATTTTATTTAAAATATAGGGACCTGTTAAAATATAGAAATTTTAATACGGTCCTGAGCAAAACTTAAGAAAATTATTTAATTACACAAAAATGCTTCGACTAAAATTACCTATTATTTTACGGACAAAGTGTGAATGAATTTAATGGTAGAGAAAATCGAGGCTGCCTTTCGAAAACGTCTCGAGCGTGCAAGTGGTATTCTATTTCCGCTCGAGTTTCGGCGCATCAGGGTAAAAGTCGTAGAAAGCGCGCGATTTCCCGTGCTCCTGGGGATCTTTTTAGCGATGACTGAGGTTCTCTGCGAGCGACTTTCACACGTGGGCTTCCTGCAGTCGCAGCCGTCTACCCGTCTAATTATATCTTACTTTGTTTGAGTACAACGCACCTTTTGACACGCGGCCGCCACCTCTTCTCTTTCATCGCCCGTTTCCATCTCTACGCCTCCTCCGCGTTCGAAGATTCGCGCCCCCTTGGAGCCAGGCCAAATCGAACGATCGCTCGTTAAGTCGGCCCGCAAATTAGGCGAATCTGTCTCCTAGGTATCAATTGTCAAAATCGATGACAAAATCATCGATAGATCCCGTTAAATAGAAAATTTCTTCAATTCATTTTTCCTATAAGTCTCTAAACTCTTTTAGAATCAACATTCACGAGCTGTTAGAAAATCTCCGCGATTGTCCTGGTCATCGACGGAGGACATCGTAAAGCATCCTGCGCGACCCGCTTTCACTCGCGACTGGAAAAAAAAAATATCCGCGCAGTGACCCACTACCCTCGTGACTCAGTTCCCTACCCCCGCGACAAAAAAAAAAAAAAAAACGCAGATGATGAGCCGCGGGTGGAGGAGGCCGATGGGGTGGGAGGATGACGGTGGGATCGAAGTGTTTAACGAGTCCGGCGCACGAACGCGAGGAATAAAATGAGCAGCTAATCGATAGCAGTTCATTGAGTTTCGGGCGTGCACGCGCGTCACGCCTCTCCCTCCAGAACGGATCGAGTCAGCTCTCTCCCCTATGGGTGGTGGTGGCCCTTCAATCGCCTCTTTGTCAGCCCCTCGTTCCCGGCGGCTGGTGCACGTTGACGCCGATCCGCTGGCGTCCCTCGTGCCACCGACGCCGATGACGACGCTCCGTCGAACGAACGGAAGGTCACGTGGCTTATCTTCGGATTTTCTGCGACGTGTCCGCGTCTTACGTGCGCGTCATTCCAGATAGTGGAAGAATTTTAATTTTTTTAATTGATCTTATGGTATTTACAATCGTCTCTATTTCAATCGAATTGAAATTCTTTCGATTATTTTGCAAGGTTCTAATTAAATCTTTCTGTACACTGATAGAGTAACGGTAACCTCGGAAAGGTATGATATAACGAACCAAGATCGTCCATCGTAATCGTCATTAATCTAATTCCTTCGATATCGAAACAAGCGGTTAATCCTTTCATTAAGCCTGGGCTCGTGATATCTCGCGATTTGACGAGTCTGCGTCAGCCTCGAGGAGATCAGCTCGATTGATGAAGAAGACCTTGAACATACCGGGACGACGGACGGTTCGTTAAACCAGGAATGTGTGGGACTTCGTTACGGTGTTCTGGTTCCATTGGTAACGGCCGGCGTCTCGTCAATGACTTAAGGCCGAGAAACGGCTACAAGCGAAGTCCCTCCGGTAGAAACTTTCAACTGGATCTTCTACTTAGCCTTGTTAATAAGTCAGGCTATGCTAATACTTCGCAGGTGTTCCAGCAGTTTTAGCAGGCCATACTCTCTCTCTCCCGTCCTTCGAGGCGGACTTGGGGAACAGCTGCGAATTTGCTCGACAGTCAAGATGCTTCTATCGATCGAGAAAAAGCAGTCGGATCTAAAATTTAACCCTTATCCGGCTGTTCCATTTATGTAGCGCGGACAGACAATCGGAGTTCGTTGAAATGTACAGTACCGAGCATGGGGGTTTTCTCTAAGGAAAATGGTGGTGTAGACTATGGTGGCGCCACCATTCACCATAA